ATCGTAAAGATATGTATATATAATATATATAAATTGAGAATGATTAAGTATAATATGCGAGGAGGTCGAGCGTGAAAAATTCACAAACGAGTCTTATTATAATACACTACATATGCCATTTAGTGAATTTACTATTTTGTACTATATTATTAGTATTGCCTGTATGCCCCTAACAATATATACACTATTGAATATGCAAGTTTTAAATATAAATCTCAACAGAAGAGGCGTCGTGTCATAAAATCTTATCGCCAAGTGTCTGACGTATATGGGTGGTATAAATAACTAAGTTTTATTTATTTAATTATACTTTTAATAGACATAAAATGAACTAATTTTTTATATGTTTGTTCTGTCCTTTATATTAACGGTTCTCAATTTTCTTTTTATTCAAGTCTCACTAAATAAAAGATAATAAATTATTTTTTATAATTATTATGCTTAATCATTTTTATCAAAATATAAATAATAGTAATTTATTCGAATTTGTATATTACGAAAAAATGTGAAAACGTGAAATGAAATATTAAAATATTGTCATTGATGATTCGTTTTCAAGAACCATTTTTAAAAATATAAACTAAATCTTACCACACAAGTAATAGTTAGTCTAAAAATTTGCTTTTAGTATGTGTATGACTTAGTGTTTTTCTTTGTTTTCGGAACCGTAGAACTATCTTTATGTAACAATTACGATTCACCATAAATCGTGTGGTACCTATCTCTTGTCACGCCAAATTTTTATTATTATTATTACAAAGAAAATTATATTTACAACTAGTACACACAAAAAATGCAATGAGTAATGAGTATAAAACATCTTATGACTTAACAGATCGAATGAAGGAGATATTGGTTGCCTCGTCCAGTGATACTTATAATTCAATAACTATTTTATGCGAATACAATTAATCTATACAAATATGAAATTAAAATTATACTTAAAAGAGATTGAAAATGCGAGAATTCCTCAATTTTACAAGTATATAGTTCAAATATTTAGCCATAAAAAATAAATAATAATTTTACTTTTTTCATTGGTGTTTGGAATACAACAAACTATAATTAGTAATATGTTTTACTGTAAAAATTATTTATGAGTAATAAATGCACACAATCAATTAATTCAGACTTCGGAATGTAAAATTATAATACACATAGTTATTACTTATTAATTTCGCAAAAATATCCAAACTCGTTATTTATTAATTGTAAGGTGATAATTTATCAAATTATTGGATTTCATATTAAAATTTTTAGGGCTATTAAATAATATGATTTATACTATTTCTTATTTAATACGTGTAAAATGTATTGAAATAATTGACTATTTGTAATAATATTGAGGACTGTCATCAAACAAGAGAAAAGATTGGTTACATCTGAATTCCAGTATTTGGTTCAATGAAAATTCTTTTCACATATATTTACACGATATAATTATTAAATCCTTTTAACCATTTTTACTTAACTTCTATATATCTAATATGCAAAAATTCTATTTGGCCAAATGTACTTTTTGAACCATACTTCATTCATATTTTTTAGACAAGTGTTTGTAAGTATTTGCTGCATTATTCCCATCTGTAAACAATACAAAAATCGTCATTTAAGTGTATTATTATTGTGATAAAAAAAGAACGAATACCCAAGGTTATTGAATCCGTTGGCCATCATTATTTGTTTTTACTATATCAAACATTGAGTATTATAATTCATAACAATCAACGCTTAATAATTTCAAATATAAAACAACGTGTTAAATGTTAAATAATTATTATCTAATAATTTTTCACATGCATACCCATAGGCGTACGCAGACTCCAAAAGTAGGTAGTACCCATAAATTATTATTATCGGTCTCCTATATTAAAACTATTAGACTTTTTCTTAAGTTTAATGTGTTTTTAGTGTACATATTACGTATAATATAAAAATACGAGTTGCATACTATTATACATCATTTCTGAGAGGTAGTCATGGCGGGTTAATATTTAAGTTAAAATACAATCAAAAAAGAAAAATTAATGAATTATTTTATCGATAATAAATTATCACAAGTTTTACTTTGTAAATTGTAAATTAAACAATTAGTTTGTCAGTTTAAAATTAAAATTAATACAATTAACTCATAAAAATTGTTAATATATATATTTAACTTTTATTTTAAAACATATAATCTGTAATTATTTATTTACAATGAGCATATGGGGAAGTATACATTTATTTTTAATATATAATGCTAGTCACTATACACATCTACACGTTAAACTACATACAGACTTTCAACAATAGAGTGTACCATCACAATGAATTATTCTTATTTTTAAAATTTGCTTTAAAAATATAATCTAAAATTTATTTTTGTAATCAAGATGTATTTATTGTAATTAATAATAATACATGAGAAATTTGATTGAGAAATTGGGCACTTCGGCCCATGAAATTCACAGGGCGACCTGGTTACACCCTACACGCTCTGTGCGCACGCCTATGTACATACCTCTTACTACGTACCTATTGAATAAAAGTGATAAGTAATTGAAGTAAATTAAATCAAATAAAAGTCTCAGGAAATAAAGTATAAGAATGTATAAAATGGTAAATAAAATGTTAAAATTACCGGAATCTAATTAACAGAAAATTTTCAACGATAATCAATGTATATACATGCAGTCAAAAAAAATAAACGATCGGTAACTATTCTGTAATAGCCAATAATTAAAATATGAATAGTTAAGTAATAAATATTATTTGGATTTATTTTTTCTCGGATATTTTTACGAACATACTACCAAATAACTTACGATTTACAAACAATGTAACTGTAACAAGGTCGTGGAATCTGTTATACAAACGTAATTTAGTAATTTAGGATTTTTAGAGTTTTTTTTTTTAATAATTTAATTATAGTTAAGCTTCAGAAAATGCAAATCAAATAATAAGTTCCTAATAATATATTTTATGATTATACAATTATTTATTACTAAATTCAGCCCTAGTATATATTATAATAATATATATAATATTATGAATGACTATTACAAGTATTATAGTCATCCGGAGTTTCTTTATGTACGGATTACGGTATAAACTCAGAACTAATGAATTTGATACGGTGTGTCTCGTATAAAGTGTTAAGTATATATTGTATTATATATGCAGTGTATACGGATGACTATTATATATTTAGTAAACATTATTCCTTATTATTTATTATATATTTGCGAATATTAATAGTTTGTAATATTTGTGATCTGTTAAATAATGATGATACAAGTGACGATTTGGTCTCTTTTGTGGTATATTAACAAACGTTGTATAGTTTATCTGTAAACTTATGCAAGTATTTAACTAAATGTATGTACATTGATGTGTATTTATCCTATAGATAGAACTCGTGAGTGTCGTGACAGTTCTTCTATTCTTTGTCTAATTTTTTGTTCTTTAACTTTTGTTCAAATATAATGCTGTCAAAGTGTCAAATAACACATAAAGACACTTTACAAAATTAGTTTGTCATACTTAAAAATTTATAAAACACTATAATATTGTATAGAATGATTCATATATTATGTTCATTCCATTTTCTTTAATAATGCAATTATAAAAATCTGATTTTTGAAATGTTTAAGTATACATAAATACCATATTTTCAATTGTTGAGATTTTTTTGTTCAACTTGAGAAATGTTTTGTAGTGATACATTCTTTAATTTTTCAAATGAAACCTACCATTTTCTATTTTAAACTATTCAGTAAATAATTTAAAAATTTAAAATACGGTTTTATTAAAATATAAAATAGATGAATGGAATATTAAACCTATTATTTATTAAACTCGAACAATTTTTAAAAATCACAAGTTTGGATCATCAAATAATATTCCTGAAATGATATAAAAAATATTAAGTAATCGAGAACATCGTTTTTAAGTACAGTCGAACTTGGTTAACTCGAAGTTGAAGGGACCGGAAAAAAGTTTGAATTATTCAAAAATTCAAGTTATCCAAATTGAAAATTTTTAAAACAGTACAAAATACATTAATTCTTACATATTTATAATGAATAAAGTAATGTAAAAAAATATTTACTGTGTATTTATATATGAATTATGTATATGTAATTTTAAAGAGGTATGTATTTATGTATAAATAAAAATGAGGTTAGAAAAAATAGAAAATTATTTCAAAAAGATATTTATTTTTGTTTGAATTTTGTTGTTAATCGCAGCGTTTATGCAATGAATCGTTTTAAACCATTTATCGAAAACGATAACACTAATGAGTAGTGACCTTATTTTCAATATGAAAATATATACATAGATACACGAGGGAAATATCACAATTTTATAATATTAATAAAACTCAAAATTTCGAGTTATCCACGAAAATATTCGAGTTGAACAAGATTTTTTTACATTGTTTAAATAGGAAATTCTAGGGATCAGAGAAAAAGTTCGAGGTATTGACGATTTCGAGTTAAAAAAGTTTGAAATAACCAAGTTCGATTGTATATCTAAAATTTCTTAAAATAAGGTTTTGAATAACTGCATTATTAAAGAATGGATTGGTGATGAGAATACTCGTACTATTTTTATTAATTAAGAATTGGCTTGTGTCGAAATGATGATCTGCAAGTTACAATTCGCTTATAAAAGTTTAATTCTGTCTATTATTATTATTATACTACGGTTAATTATTAACGAGTTACCAAATGTCGTACTCTCATACAATGTATGGGAATTTTTGATTCTAAATCATTAGACGGACAAACAACAGATTTCGCTCATTTTAAAACAATACATGATTTTGCATTGTTTGCGCGTACCTTGAAATAAATGAATCAAAATCGTTGACCTTAAAGGCCTGGCCTATACAAATTACGCGTCAATAAGAGCCAATAAACCTTATTACAATAGCATTGGAGTGGGATTTATAAATCACTGGGAAAACGGGAAAAACACTAACCTCCATTCCACTCAATGTCACTACATACCAACGTTCTGAGTATAAAACTTAACAGCACCGTGTAAAATTGTTAAATCATATTAAACATCGCTATGCATTTCGAAGTGACATACACCACATGGCTTATAGCCACATTATTCATAAGTCGATCTGTAAGTACATACAACTTTTTACTATAACAATACAGAATACTACTTGAATTGTGTTTCATGATTATAAGTCTATACTTGTTTTATCTGGGTGGATCAAAAATATTGTATGTTTGATTTGCATAATATTATAATATGCGTTTTCTTAAATGTAGCGCAATTCTTTTTTAAACATTATTTAATCGACGGTTTGTTTTATTATTGGATTAGTAAACAAAAATCGAAACATAGGTTCTTTAATTCCCATTCATATTATTTTTCGTGGATCCATATAATTTATTCATCTTATCAATCAGTAATCGTAACAATATATACATTTTGATGATTTGAAGTCGTTTGACATAAATGATATAATATAAATGCTCAACATTCATTGTAATACAGTATTGTCTAAATTAATTGGACAATTGCAATTTATCAAACTAAGATAGTTGCTGATTTGATTGTAATTGTTTCAGATATGCGACGATAAGGCGTCTGGTGGTAGTCACGGCAGCGGTGGTGGCAGTGGCAGTGGCGGTGGTGGCAGTGGCGGTGGCGGCAGTGGCGGTGGCGGCAGTGGCGGTGGTGGCAGTGGCGGTGGTGGCAGTGGCGGTAGTGGCAGTGGCAGTGGCGGCAGTGGCAGTGGCGGTAATGGCGGACATGGTAGCAGTGGCGGCAGTGGAGGTAGTGGTGGGCACGGTAGCAGTGGCGGCAGTGGCAGTAGTGGCGGTTTTGGAATGGATAACATGCCTTTTGCTATGAACGGGATGTCAGGAATACAATTACCTTTCCCGTTTTTCCCTCCATTCGGATGTGACACGACATGTCAACCAATACAAATGCAAGTATTTCAGCATCAACAAGTACAAGAGATGTCGACAAAGGTTACGCCGACGACTCAGGCGCCGAGTAAGTAATTTATAGTAATTTAAAACACTACCAAATGGTACTAAATAGATGTATATCAAAAACTAAACTGATGTAAAATTAAAGTAACAAATAAAATATAGAAAATTAAATATAAAAAAAAAAAAATCAAATTACATAATGACATAATGCTATACACGCGAGCAGAACAATAAAAATAAATCTAGATTTAAAATGATTTCAATATTTTGACGTCATCCCACTTTGAATTGTTATTTTTTATATTTTCTTCTTACGATTTTCTCATCGATTAATTTTAAATTCATAAAAATTTCGTTTTCACAATTTCAGCCACACACCCTCCGACGACCATGCCACCGCCGAAATCCACATCACCAGCACAAAAGCCAATGACCAATACATACACCTCGCAAACGATCATTATGTACCCGAACTGGTAAGGAATTATTACGGTATACCAATGTTTTGTTATACATATATAACCTATAAGATTGTGTCTACAGCTTCCGAACCCTTAAGACCAGCATTTGTGCGGCTGTTGATATTATATAAATAAATAATGTACCAAATACGTGTAACAGTTGTGACTATTATGTTACGTCGATTGTTGTGGTCGTAATAATAATAATAATAATAATACGATTTTCAGGTGCCAAGGTTGGTGCAGGTTTTTCTATCAACCTCCACCGCAACCAGTGTATTACCAGCCGAATTGTTTACTATTTTCATGGATGGGTTTGGGATCGGGGATGTCCATGGGAATGCCTTCCACACAAATGTGAGACTTAAGCGGATTCAGCTGCAGAGTTCGATAAACTGCTCTAACAAAACAATCGTTATCACTGTAGTTTCATCATATACTTACGTATAGTATTTATTATTATTATATATATATTTTTTTTTATTATTATTTTTATAATACAATATAAACAATAATATTAATAATAAAAAAAACAATTTTAAATAATTTTATTTAATTGTTATTTTTAATAAAATCAATTTTTTTTTAATAATTTTTACACATTACTATTCACGAGAACAATCGAATGATATGAATCCTTAAATCGTAAGAGCAATTCGTATCTATATACAAAATAAATATGTTTGTATATATCAATAAATAATATTTTACTAGGTAATTATTGATTAATACTAACGAGATATTGATTATAATAATTGTATTTATTTATTGTTTTCTTAAAAAAAGGACAGACGGTGAGATGTCATGTGGAAATTTTCTTAACTATAAACCAATGAAAATAAATTAACAATTATATCGCTCATAATATTGTAGTCAACACCAAATAGTCTTACTTATAAAAAATAATTATAAGTAGAATAGTTTAAAAAAAAAAAATAATAAAAATATCGAACAAACAAATTAATATCAGAACGAAGAAAAAAATAACAATATTTATTATTTTTGAAAAAGTTTTTGATTTGATTCCACAAAAAAAAAAAAAAAAAATCAACTGCCTAAGGTACAACAATAATAAGCGAGTGAAACTTAATAGAATAGTTTAAAAAATGTAGAGTATTTACACTAAACAGTTGGTTTTTTTATACATATTATTTTTGGTGCAATTAGGTAGGCTTATCTTAGTACATTCATTACGGTTCTATGTCCGTCATTGAGTCATCGTTATTCAGCAGACTTGTCACACATATACAATAAAATTTCGGCGTACCTTTTAGAAAAATCTTAGTAGGGTGTTTACACCTATGTTAATATGTGGTGACAACACCAGTAGCATCGGCGGCGACAACGACAATGACTCAATAACAATCGCAGAACATTATCAAACCTACTTATCTAATATCTAGTGTATACGATTTCGTTAAAACTATACGATATTATACAAATAAATATATTTAAAAATTACAAAATTATAGTAGAATAGGTACTCATTTACACTAATAATAATAATAATAATAATAATAATAATAATAATAATAATAAATAAAAGGTTTGGAAACCAAACGGATCGAATCGTTACGTCGAATCAAAGAGTATATTTTAAAATAAAATGAAAATTATTTGACATCTTATACCTTCAAAACGTAATTTTCCCGATTTTTTTTTACAGATATTAGTCTCTTATTATCTAGAACTATTAGTTAAACGAAATAAATCGGGTTGATCCGTTTGTTTTCTTAACCCTTCGAATAACACTATAAGTCTTATTTTAACAGGTCTCAAATGGTTCCCAATGGTTTTCGGTTCGAATATTATAATTATTGCATTATATAATATTATAAGGTATTTTTTTTTTTTATAAATGAAAAACTTTCCCAAGACTAGAGACCGTGATAGACTAGAAAAAATTGTTTACATCGTGGAACTAAGAAATTATTGACGCTGTATTAAAGATGTGACAGTCTTTCTAGTTATTTTAAACTGTTTTAAAGTTTGTTTTCACACTAACATTAAATTTAAACAAAATAGTAAGTTGTAATGAAGAAACTATATAATCACAAAAAATATAGGACCACTTAAGTGATACAAATCAAACAATTTTTGGGATGCGTATTTAAGTCTAAAAAATTGCACATTCTTTATATTTATATATATAATATAGTATATGATTTTTATAATAATATATTTATATGTATAATAACTATTTACAAACGGTGTATACAAAACGTTATAAAAAAATTAACTATGTCATAATCTGTTACACACGTAGATTGCGGTAACATTTCGTTGGCCTAATCTCTAAAATTCGTTGTTCCACGATTTCTCTTCCTTAACACTGATAGCTTCCTGTTCGTGTTCGCCATCTGATTCTTGTTTTAAGGAACTGGCTTCTGATGGTGTAGATCTACCAGACTTATCTTCGTCGTTGACATCCGACGGTTCTACTCGAATGGTCTCCGATCTTCTTCTCTCAGCGCAACCATCAGCCGCTTGCATTACGCAAACGCCATTTATAATTACTTCGGATTGCTGCTGTTGCTGCTTCTGTTCGGATTGCAACCAATCTGGGTTGACCCATTGTGGAGCAGCTGGTTTTCTGCGAGAACTTCCGACTACAGGTACGGCCGGGATTTCTTCTCTAGGTTCCGATTCTTCCGACCGGCTGTCTTCGTCATCAAAGTCAGTATCTACTTCGTGTTTCACGCTCAAATCCAATCCGGACATTTGCTCATCCACAGTGGCAGAAGAGGATGATGTCAACATTGGTATGAAAGAAGATAGATCAGTGCCATGTTGCAAATAAGGGTTTCCTGCATTAAACGGTATTGGAAGGCCACCGAAACCTAGTCGATGACTTAAGAGAATTCTAAACTGAATTGGGTCGAATCCAGGACCAGTTTGTGATTGTTGTTGCTGTGAATCAGAATGAGGAGATTGTTGCTTAATTCTCATTCTATGATTGTGGAACCAGTTCGTTATTGTCCTAGTCGCTAAATTTAATTCCGATGCAAGAAACTCAATTGTACCCACACTTGGGTATTGATCCAGGGCAAACGCTAATTTCAATGCTTCTTTTTGTTCATCGGAAAATAGAACCTAAAATTAAAATGACCATAATATATCATTTTTTTAAATATTCACATAACAATGGTTAGAAAGTATAATATTTATAAATTATATGATTCTTACTCGTTGTTTTTTTGCGGCAGATGGAGGACTACTAGTACCACTGTGATAAAAGTCCGAAGTGTCATTCGAAGATGTGTCACTTCCATTGTCTTGTTGTCCAGAACCTCGTCTTCTTTTGTTCAACTCTCTCCGTTCACTTTTAATAGCTTGCAATCTTTCCACATTATGTTGATCAGATAGCCAAAGTTGCATTCGGATGAATGGTTCACGGCCTTTAATGCTTAGCATATGCCATGGCTTAGGCTTTGATAGCAATTCACTAACTGATCCCTGAGAGAGTCCCAGTACAGCTTCACCGAAAATCTTAAAAAACATAAACGATTAGTAAAAAATACTGTTAACATTTCTTTTAATATTTACTTTTTGTCCAATATTATTAGCGAGGAGTGCTTCTTTGATTTTAGTAGTAATAGTCTGTGTGTCTAGATCTTGCGTTAGAGCAGCCATCTCGTAAACTGATGGCACAACTGCAGGTGGATGACGTGTTCCCGAATTTTGGAAAGCTGCAGCCACGTGTTGTAACATCAGGTTTTGCGGAATTCCGTTATTTGGTATTGGACTTGCTTTAAGTTTATTGTCAGTGACCATCATAGATGCAAGTTGACTACCCGTTGATATTAATGAAGAAGCAGTAGATGAAGTTGCGTGGTGATGTCCACCTGGAGACTGAAGTTGTATATGATGGTTGCTTGGCGATTGTAGTGAAGACGCCATATCAGAATCTTCTGACATTGTTGTAGACGTGTTGCACATTGAGGTAAGTATATGATGATGTGGTGTTTGGCGATCCGCATCTCCACTAACTTTTAAGAGATCGAGAGGTGAAGGGGTCATTTTACCACCAAAAGTGTGTGTTGATTTTACTAAATTCTGATTCATAGCTATATTTAAAAAAAAATAATTAATAAGTACAAAAAATATATTAATAAAACGCAATTAATGTCTATTTAAATAGTGCTAAATTATAATAATATACTTACGACTTGATCCACCATATCCTCCAGTTCGCATAAGCTTCTCTGGTGCAATTTTATATTGGGAAGCAACTAGTTTATGTACAGCTTTATCATCCTCCAAAAACATTTTCATCCTTATAAAAGGTTCTCTTCCTTTTTGAGTCAACATATGCCATGGTTTTGGTCTAGCCAAGAGATCGGATACACTTCCTTGAGAAAGACCCAATACAGATTCTCCGAATAGTCTTTGACTGATTGAAAATTGACTAAGTTGCTCTTTGACTTTCCTTACAATTTCTTCAGTATTCAAATTATTAAATTGGTCAAATTGTTGCTGAGTAATTGGTGGCAATACAGCTTTTAGAGGTCTCTGCGAAGGAGAATGATGATGTGGAGTTGTGGGTTGAGAAATTAAAGCGTTTGTAATTGAAGCCATTCTTTGAAGTGGACTGACTGCAGCAGATTGACCGAAATCCTCGGGAGGTAAAATATTGTTACCTAATGGTGAGCTAGCTGAGCTTCCTACAGAAGATGTACCACCTAATTTGAACAAAAAAAATATAATTAAGCTATGTACTATAGGTGTATAGTTTAGTTTATATATAGTAAGTAATAAATATTATTCAAATAACTTACTTTGTTCTGTCTTAGGTCGCACAAGTGAAAAAGCACTTCCGGCTTGTTTCATTGCTTCTGCTACAGTTTCAGACTCTTTGTCTGAAACCTCAGTTCCATTTACTTTAACAGCAAAATCTTTTCGTTGTACAAACGGATATATATCTTTTCTATCTTTTGGTAAAGACAAGTCTTGGGCTATACCAGTTCCTTGTATAGTATTGTTATTGTTATTATTGTTGTTGTTTGACATTGCTGCAACGGCAGCTTGTTGTTGAAGAGCTAATAATCCTGACAATTGGTTCTGTGGGCAGTTTTGTAATTTTGATAATTCTCGGTGATAAGCATCTAATGCAGTTCGAATATCATCGTGGTTGCCAGTATGATTTCCGAAGAAATGAGGGAAAAGCCAGCTAAAATTTATTTTGATATTAATAATCATAAAATTATTAACTTAAAAATCTAAATAAAAATAACTAAACTCACCCTGCAAACGGCTGTTCGCCGCTTCTCATAGAGTCTTCTAAACGTTTTCCCATGATTTTAGATAGCTCTTCTTGGTACAGCCGGGCTACTTGTTCTTGCGGAATATCTTCTTTGGGTCTTTGTCTGGACGGGGAAGTACTCCTCTGTATAAAATTATTAAAATTAATATAAAGTTATGCTTATATTATAAGAGAAAAAAATTATAATCACAATTAATTGATTTGGTGAAGTGCTTTCGTCATTGCTTTGAGTATCGTCTTGCTGTTGATTAGGTTTCATCATTTGACTTGCTTCGTTCAATATATGTACAATCCTTTCATCGGTGACGTCATTATCAGTTCTTCCCATTACCGTAGGTATGCCAGAGTCTTTACCTGCAATCAATGAGTACAAGGAGTCCTTCTTTGATAAACCCCAATGACCTACACCCCATAAGTTTGCATAAAAGGATATTATTCTTAAACATTAAACTCCCTCTCAACTTTTGTTCGTCTCAACAATTTAGAATTAGAACGAATTATTTAAACCAATAGTGAAACTATATGTTTATTTATCTTGACAAAGATTTATTCCTTTTTCACATTGATAATTTCCATGGGTTTACGGTGACCCTATTGACCACAACTGTTTAGAGGGGTTCTAGTAAGTTTCGTGGTTTTAATTAGTGCCCCCAGATTACTTCATCTACTACGTAAAACAAGAACTTAATTGATTTTGGACTTTTGACCCCTCGTGTTTGCCTACTTGAATGGTCTTGATTAATGGAATTTCTCGGGGTTAAATTAACTATAATCGCTTCGGAACACCATACCTTTTTTCGGTATCAACGACTTGAGTAGCATAACCGCGTTCTCGTCACATGCCCATGCATGCATTTTCCTATAGCTATCGCGTCCCTTTTCAGTCAGCTTGTCCCACGGCTTAGGTTTTGACAACAATTCACTGACGGTCCCTTGGGAAAGTCCGAGAATATATTTGGCAAACAACCTTTGGCCCACGTTATGGATGGATAGTAGTTCACGTACGCGACGAGCTATATGTAATGTATCCAAGTTTTGGGTAGAATATTTGTCCATATTATACCTAAAAACAAAATTTTAATATTTTTAACAATATTCTTCAACAACTAATTAATAACAATACTTAAGTAAATTGTAGTATGAAATAATTTTAATTATATACGATTTGTATACCTGAGCATTTCTTGAAGTCTAGCTTCCATAGGATCACCTTTCGGTATAAGTGATTCGCCAAAACGTCCAACCATGGTACAATCACCATCTCCAAATCGATAAGGAGACCTGTGATCAAAAGGCGACTTTATCAAGTCAAAGCCTAAAGCACCAGCAGGTCCTAAAATGTTATTGTTGAGACCAACATTAAGACCACAGAGACCATTTATGAGGCCTGCGGGAATATTGTTGTTGTTGTTGTTGTTCAACTGAGATGGGTTATTGTTATTATTATGAGGAGAACTATTGTTTAGTCGCGGTGAACTGTTTGATTCACTTGTAGGCGATTTGCATGGTGTTCCGGACCTACTAGCAGATCGCGCTGGTTGAACCGTGATAGACGGTGAAGTAGGTGCTGGAGACGAGCTCGGAGGTGGTGTTTTGATAGATTCTAAACCTGGTGATTTTTCCTTGTCTAAAAATAATTTATAAAAAAAATTTAAAGGATTTTTTAAATAATCATAAACGTATTAACTACAAGAAAAATGACAATTCTCGAGGCCTCCTCCCCCTCATTTTAAGAACACGTCTAGACTTTTCCTTACCGGTAGTTTCATGTCGGTTTGGAGAAGTATAGACTTTCTTTTGTTCATATTTATTGCATTCGAGGGATCTTCGCCAGTTGGCCACGATCTCTTCGCCGAGTATCGGGCCAAACTGTTCGACGTTTTGTAGCCCGGGAGGGGGTGGGGCCACCGGAACTGAAAAATCATCTGTAAGATAGACAGACGGCTGTTTTAGCGATGCTACTTTTTCGTGTTATGTTACTAATGGGAGCTATTATAATATTGTTATGTTTTACTTACTTTGAATTTCAGGTACGGGACTGCAAGACGACCTCTGTTGTTGTTGAGGTGATGTGCCTTGTGTATTTTCAGATTTGTTGTTGTTTGGTGACTTGTTATTACGGTCGTCTGAACATTCGACGGCCTTCAGTACACTAAAATATATAAAATATAACAAATCAAATAATAGTTTTTTTTTTTTTTTTTTATCGCCGTTATTCACGTTTATTGTGAAAAATCACTGAGCAAACGAATATTTCATTAGCGTTATGACTCATTTACTATGTAAGCCTCCCGCTGACATTAGAAATAAAGACGATTCTGTATCGATAACCATCTTTCCGTTCCATATAATTAATATCGATGACATTTTTTTAGTATCATCGCATACCAGATTTCATTTTAATAAACTAGTTTGTATCCACATGATTATAAAATATCGGCATTGATGTCAAAAAATATTTTGGTAGTATATTTACTTATTAAAAAAAAAAAAAAAAATACCAAAGCATATTTCTTATTAACAAGTTGTATTTATTAGTTGAAATATTTGAGTATATCTAAAACATCACTAAAATAAAAACCCACCATTGCTTAAGTACACACATTAATGTATAGGAAATATTGAAATAATTAAGATACAAGATATTTATTATGTTTTTGTTGGCTCAGACAAAAGCTGTTTGTTATGTAAAGTATTAAAATAGGTACTTATAAAATATATATTATATATAATTTATATTATAGTACATTATTATATTTAATACAATGCCTCGGAAAACATATTTTTAGTTTGTTGCATTGAATTGGAACTTACTAAAATTGAATTGGGTTGTTGAACATATTAAATTGCTAGATGCAAAAATAAAATAAGAAGACTTATGGACGATTATGAAAATAATATTCTTGGATCATAAAAAATTGTGTAATTTGGCCGGTATGCCAAAAATTAAACAATTAGTGTAAATTGAAAAAGTGCCAAAAACAGAAAATTAACGTTTTCAACTTTGAGATTTTTGTCACAAGATTCTTGTAATATTTTATTCGATCGAATTCCTAAAATTTTGTCACTCACCATAGCTGTCGTTTAACTTCTTCGTAGTCTCTCTGAGCGTCCAATCTGGCTTCAAGTCTCATAATGTGTTGTCTTTTATCATGTAACTCTTCTTCAAGTCGAGCAATCTCTTTTGCTGTGTGATCTTGTAGTTTACCGATACTAGATTGCAGTCTGCGTACATCCTCCACCAATTGTGAAATCTAAAAAATAAAAAATTATTCAAATATAGAGGGTGGTAGAAATGAGTATAATAACAAACACAATCGATATCCAAGATGGCGTTTATAAACATAAGGGGTTCTAAAAAATTATTGTTTATACAATTTGCATCAAAAACCCGTTAAGAGCGTCCTGGTTAATTACTGAAAACCGTTGTCGCCACCGATAGCCTACGGTACATAGACACGAAACAGAACTATTTACCTTATGTATTCATAATGATATGTATAAAATGTTTATGTATATATGTTTTTTTAATTATCATAAAACGTGCGCGAGTGTTCGATATCAAACTACAGTAATTACATTATTATTATTACGACAATTCCTTATTCTCTTTTTATTTTAATATTAACGGCCCGTAACGAGATACACTAAAGGGAGCCGAGTGCGCTCTGTTTTCTGAAAGGTCTCTCCTCCAGTCTATTCTATAGTGTTAGTCATGAAGGAAAAGTTCCGCATGCAGACAGACAGACGTTTCCGATTTTCTCTTCAACAATTATAGTCATTATTATGCGTGCCTGTATCCATCAGGATTGATTATACTTTTTTCTCTCACCCTTTTATATTACCACGTATACCGAGCTTAAATAATGTGCGCGATGGGTGTAAAAACAATATACATACGTTTTTTCCATTAAACGTATTGAAAATCCATTTCACGAACGTCCAAACCTGAACACACTAGAGCCACTATACACACTCGTTACAGGTACAACTTACATATTATAATCATTTAAATTGTCCTTCTCGAACAATATTTATTTGTGATAAATAAAAAAAAAATGTTAAAAAAATGTTTATATCTAAGTATACATAAAGCATTCATCAAATACTCTCGTCGAATAAATTACACGCACGAAAATTCCTCGACGCTTGTTTGCGGTTGGTATCAACGCCAATAAAAATTGGAATACAAATGTTTGTAATTAGATAGACACACAAACACTAGTGGGACGTCGTAGCAATATTCATCGTTCGCTGGTTATATGACGTTAACGAATGATAATAATAATAATAAAAAAAAAAAAAAAACTAGAAAAAACAGATAAAAGTGTTTGTCCGATTATATATCACCATTGAAGGTAATATATACATATGTATAGGTACACACAGAATACATCGTAGACAATTAAACGTTAGCAAACAACGAAACTTTATAGAGAAGAATCAAACATGGCTGCCGAAAGGATGCATCAAATGAGGCTCATTAGTCGGTATTTCGATGTATAATGTTATTATATTGAGTAATGACCGAAAGGAAAAAAAATAAAAATAAAACGAGAGAATCGTCGGCATCGATATATGTATAAACAACTGCACACGCTGAAGTAGCAACCTAAAATTATTACACAGCTCACATGAATAAACATCACGCGAACGAGTAGTTATGGCGGGGGGTCCACGACAACGGCCTGCAGTGTATAGTATGTACGACGGCAATAGTAGACAGTACGTAGAAGTAGTAGTTATAGTAGTAGTATTAGTAGAAGTCGTCGTAATATGACTTTTAACTATAGTAGTAGCAAAGTAGTAGTAACTAGTAATAGTAGTTGTGGAATTATAAACGCAAAGGAAAATCGTATTAAAGCGAAACAGAAGTCGTTGTTCGGGTCAGCCCGTAATTTGTTCCAATTGACTAACCGCAATAAATCTTGGGATGTCAAAAAATCATCGGTTTCCTGTTTCCTGTGCTTTTATAACTATTTGTCTGTTAATATAATAACGTCGATATAATCCGAAAATTTTCTAAACTACAAGGTCACCTTGGCGGGTCCGCCGCACAGAAATATAATATAATAATATATTATAACAACGACGAATACATAATACAACGTATATGTATATATATATTTTGTCGGCCACCGATGTGATTCCATCGTATAATGTTATACATCGTAAAAATTGTACATTAAATAGTATATCATTATAAATTATTATAATATATACGCCAGCAAAAATCACGACGTCGTTCGTATACAGCGTCTCTTCGTTATACACGCGCGGTGGCTGTGGGGTGTACGTGCACACTCGCACATGCATAAATCTCGTCAGTGTGTTTGACCACCCTCGAAAGAAAATGATTATTTTGCATATCGATTCGTACGGATATACTCGTATAATATGCACGCTTACAATTAATTTCGTCCGCACCCCATACGCCGATACAAAACACCCCCAAGCCGTTTCGCAAGGGTCGCGTGGGACATTCACAAGATTCTAATTACTTTCAGAAAAAAAAAAATAATAATAAATGTTTGAAGCCAAACACCGCTGCGACTCCCGCACCCGAATCCGACACGTTTGTTTGCGAGGAGGAACCGGTTATCGGAATCGACATTCGCCATCGTATAAAATCATATTGTAATAATAATATACCGGTTATCGATCCCATGTGTAACGCAATAACGGTCGTCGTCGATCTATGGGATTATGATATTATGATATTATACGGATAGAATAGTAATAATAATAATAATAATACCTAATGATGATACAATATTATATATTATTGTAATAATTGCTGTTACATTGCGCATTTTCGTGATATTTCAGATTTTCTATACACACAAACGTCGTTATTTTCCATCCATTGTTTTTTCCTCATTAAAATCTATTACGTTTTTGACGCAAACCAACACAACTATTGTTACGCGCCTGTGTGTACACTGCAGGCTCGTTTGTTCGAGATCAACCGACCGTGTCCGGTTCGGATACGTATGCACACCGTCCTCCGCGAGCGCGCGCGAGAACAACGTCTGTCAAGGAAAAAGACGTGTGTAATTATTATTAATTCGGCATGTATGTATGTTTGCGCGCTTGCTCGTGCGTGTGTGCGTGGGTCTGGTGTACTGTTTTTCGTTGATTTCGGTGAACAACACACCGTGTTCGAAGAGTTAGATAATATTATGCTGTATATTATGACGTGACCACCGTATTATAATGTATAGGTTTCTATCGCGCAAGCGCCCATATGGCGAAAAAAAACCCGAATTCGTGAGACCGTCGCTTGACGACGACGGGTTCCGTGTGCGATGTTCATTAGCACCGGATGAGATCCTTTTTCTCAGGGTCTCTGGAACGCGCACCCCCACAACCACGCGCTCACTAGGCGACATATCCTTTTTAACCGCTGCACGTGGTGGTGGTAGTGGTGGTGGTTTGTACTGTGTATAATAATAATTACGCATGCAAGAGACCGTTCTCATATAATAATATAATACGCGTGTGTGTGTATATTATGTACGTATGCATAATGTATGCATATGATATACGTTGCTGAGAATAATCGATCGACGAGGGGGTGTGAATTGTGAAAATCCGTTCGCATAATGTGTAACAAACGTTCTTGCAAAGAACCTCCAGCACTCTATAATTATTTAGCCGCTCGGCCAAATGATCACACGTTCGTTTAACGGACTTAAATATACAGGATAAATAAATGTTCTGCCACAAAAATGGCGGGAATGGGGTATGAACTAACTTCTATCATTTTGTCACATGATATTTATAAGACCCCATGTATATATAATATATATATTATATTATACATGCACCATATCATAATATTTTTATACTCTTTTTGTCTATTGTCCAACAATATAATATGCCGCGTGCTTGTTTGATAAGGTTTTTAATTTTCGGTTCAATTTTGGGATTTTGCCATTAGGATTCTCGCCGCAGTTTTAGCTTTGAATTACTTACTTATTTATTTATTTTTTTGTCCACCCCGGCTTCTTTTAATTCGTATTTTTCACTTTGTTGTTATTTTTACGTACGTGCGAAACAAAAGAAACATTTATTTATAAGTATTATTAATACGACATCGAGCAATTTTAAAAGTTGTCGTTTGAAGTCGGTGCCGAGTGTTAATTTTTAATTTTCCCGAGAACATCAAAGAACGACAGATTTCTATGTGTGCAAGGAACCGAAAGTGACGGATGTTATGTAATATCGTTCCATAAAACGGTCATTGTTCATAAAAATGTACCCACAACGAAAAAGTATAGTATACATGATGTATGCGGTGCGCACACAAGTAAACCATCAGAGAATAATAAACGTATTTTTGATATAGCTGAGGCATCGATGAATTATAATGTTTGTTCAATGTGTCTCATTACTGCTATATTATAAACTCGTACTGCAGATATATATATTTAGCAATGAGTTTGTAATATAGCGTACGCCTTTTAATAATTATTATTGTCACGCGATAAAAAGTAAGAAAATATAATTACTAATTAGAAAAAGTACCGATACCACAAAAATAATTTAAACTTATGGAAGTGCTAAAGGTACATTTATATCTATACATTTTTGTGTACGATTTCAGAAAAAAGAAACATTACATAGGAACGCGTCAAAATCGCAGTCTTGATTGCTTGTATAATATAACAACGAGTCACGATGTATAGTATGAAAGACGGAAGCGGCTGTAGTGGGATGACAGGCGAAAAGAGCTGGCCTGTGTATATTATTGTGTATACGTTATAATATATGCATATATGTATATTATAATAGTACACCGCGGGGGAAATAACGATCGAACGTCGGGGAAGAAAACAAAAGGCGACCATAGTGGAACAGGGTTTTATTGATTACATCGACAAGTGCCGATGAAGGGATTCGGAAATCGACTGACGAACGTGTGCACGTATACATTTCGTATGTATATACGAGTCTGACAAGGGCGTCGGTGGCAGTGGCGGTGTCGGAGGCATTAAGATAACGGTCGCCGGAGCCTGCAGGGCGAGTGATTAAGCCTCTCTTCCCCGCGCGGCTTCGCGTTCTATCACTACCACGCGGCCGTTGCCCGCCACGCACACCCCTACTTCAGCGACAGGCGTATATAAAAGGCGAAGAGCAGTGAGACGGGGGAGAAGGTAGAGAGCGAAGGAGCGGTAGCGCCCTGACAATTAGACAGATACGGCAAGTTTAAACCCTTTTCTCTCCGTATACATATATTCATCTCTCACGC